ACAATTTTCTAAGTACTATCAGGTCTGTTGTGGCCCAGATTTTTCTCCCTTCTTAACTCTTCCAATAAAAGTTTCAACTGCACAGTTAAGGACTTGAAGGGAGAATTTCTAATTTTATAATGAGAACCAGTAGAAATAGACATAGTGGGCCGGTTGTGGTAGCTCACACCTGTAATCCCAGCACTTTGGGATGCTGAGGCAGATGGATTGCTTGAGCCCACAAGTTCAAGACCAGCCTGGGCAACATAAAGAAACCCCGTGTCTACAAAAACACAAAAATCAGTCAAGTGTAGTATAGTCCCAGCTACTTGGGAGGCTGACTTGGGAGGATCCCTTAAGCCCAGGAGTGGAGGTTGCCATGAGCTGAGATCACACCACTGCATTGCAGCCTAAGGCAACAGAGCAAGACTCTGTCTCAATAATAATAATAATTTTCCAGATTGGCCTTTGTTGTGTCTTGTGTTAAATGTAATTATTTTAAAAATAACAAACCTTTCTTAGATTTAGTTTATATAATATGTGGAAGATTAAAGGGAAGAAAAAAAATTTCTTGAAGATGAGGCACAGTTAAGTTTGCCTATTTTTACATCGTCACCGCTAAATTCCTTTGCCCTGAAAAACACTCAAGTTTATTTTCCATATGACTCATCACCAAATTTCTGTTCTTTAGATGTGGATCCTGCATTGTGTGGGTCAGAAATATCAAATAACTAAATATTTTTCAATGTACAGCTTACATTTTAGTCCAAGAATAATTTTATTTGGACTAATAAATAAAAGTTCATAAGGAACCAAACAAGTAGAAAATTCTCTTTCATGATTGAAAAACTCATGTTAAGCTTAGCAATATTAGTAGTATTAAAATACTTTTAAGTTATAGCCTTAGGACATTCACAAATAATAAAAGCTACAATAAATACTGTTGCCATTAGTTAAACCTGGCTCATGCAAAGGTCTTGTAAACAAAATCTTGCTCTTAAAAGAGAGATGCACTAAATTTTACTCATTTCCTTTTATCCCTCTCTATCGTTTCTAAAGACATGGGCTCGTATTTCAGGATAATGCCTTTTAAACTCTTAATCAAATACTTAATAAAATTTAGGTATCATGGGGAAGTATAACTCTCCCTCAGTTCCTGAAACCATAATGTTCAAGGTAATTATCAGGGAGCCATTTACTCAATTTGTTAGATAATTTTCCATTTACCACCTACTATGGTTTAAAAATAGTTTGTTCCCACCAAAACTCATGTTGGAGCTTGTTCCCCAGTGTGGCTTTGTTGAGAGGTGGCGCCTTTAAGAGGTGATTAGGTCACTGAGATGAATTAACATTTTTCTTACAAAACTGTATTCGTTCTTGTTGGAGTGGGTTAATTCCGAAGAGAGCCAGTTGTTATAAAGACAGGCTACCTCTCATGTTTTGACAGTTATTTCATGCATTTGATTCCACTTCCACCTCATTTTAACTCAGCACGAGGCCCTCACCAGAAGCCACCTGATGCAGCCACCCAATCTTTGAACTTCCCAACCTGCGGAATTGTGAGTTAAATAAACCTCTTTTGACCAGGTGTGGTGGCTCATGCCTGTAATCCCAACACTTTGGGAGGCTGAGATGGGCAGATCATGAAGTCAGGAGTTTGAGACCAGCCTGACCAGCATGGTAAAACCCCATCTCTACCAAAAATACAAAAATTAGCCAGTCGTGGTGGTGTGTGCCTATAGTCCCAGCTACTTAGGTGGCTGAGGCAGGAGGATCGCTTGAACCCGGAAGGTGGAAGTTGCAGAGAGCCAAGGTCATGCCACTGCACTCCAGCCTGGGTGACACAGCAAGACTCTATCTCAAGTAAATAAATAAATAAAATAAAATATAAACCTTTTCTTTGTAAATTACCCTGTCTCAGGTATTCTATATAGAAATATGAAATGGACTAAGACACCACCCATAACTACAGCCGTCCCTGCAGTAGAGGATGTAGGTACAAATAGAATACACATTTTGCTAGGAGATACTGTGAAAGAAAATGAAGACCTTGTAGTAAAAATTTTATTATTATTTAAGAATGTTTATCCTGCTTTTTGTGGTTTGGGGTTTGTTTTTCTTGTTATTTTTTCTTTTGCAAAGTATACTTTATTTTTTGTTGTGCAAATGTAATTAGAAACCCAGGATTTTATGTTCCCAAAACTGTGGAAAAGAATAATAATGATTTACTAAGTCTCTAGGCCTAACACAACAAAGTGGTGCTCAAGCCTATAAAAAGTTTGCCTCAGCTGGGTATGGTGGCTCATACCTATAATCCCAGCACTTTGGGAGGCTGAAGAGGACAGATCACGAGATCAAGAGATTGAGACCATCCTGGCCAACATGGTGAAACCCTGTCTCTACTAAACATACAAAAAATATATATATACATATATATATACATATATATATACATATATACGTATATATATACATACATATATATATATACATATATATGTATATATATATGTGTGTGTGTATATATATATATATTAGCTGGGCGTGGTGGCACACTCCTGTTGTCCCAGCTACTTGGGAGGCTGAGGCAGGAGAATTGCTTGAACACGGGAGTG